AGGAGTGCAGAACTAGTACTCCAGAATTTGAGACAAGAGGATTGTGATTTTAGGCCAGCTAGAGCTAGACCAGTAAGAGCCTGTCTCAAAAAAGAAAAGCGCATTTGTGTCCATTAAAAATTCACCGACTATAAAATGTGTGATGCTTAATATGAAGTTTCAAAAACAAAGCCTATGACTTTATATCTTTTGTAGTCTCTTTTCCATAGATATGTGGAATTGTTTTTCTCAAATTAAGAAATTTAATACTTCCATATGATATTGTAATGAATGAAACACTACTATTGGTAACTGTTAATAACAAAATAAGTCTCTAACCTATAGAAATGTCTACAAATTTATTGGGCATTTTGTTTATTATTATAATTATTGAGAAAATTTTGATAAATATTTTTAAAACCTATCTTTGATAAGTATGAATACCTTATACAAAGTTTTAGCTATATATATCTAAAATATATCTAAAAATGTTCCTGCTCAGTAGGTGAAGTAGAATTCTTTAATTATATTTAATTGTACAAAGGAATTTCTATTTAACAAAGCAGTTTATGAATACAATGTGTCTTGATCAATATCAACTCTTTCAACATTCTCACCCATCCCTCTCCTCCTCAACCCTGTCCTCACTCTTCTTAATTTTATAGGTTGTTTATAGGCTTCTTAACTGTATTTCCCACTTCTTCATTTGTTTGTCCTTTGCCCTTTGACCCCACCTCACCCCTTTCAAGTACTCACTTCTTGGTGGTGTATTTTTCTGAACTTTGATTTGGGCTTTCTAAGAAGATACACAATTTGAGTTCACTTTTGAATCTACTATGTTTCAGGCAATACATTTGTATACACTTGCATTCCATTTACCCCATTTATTTATGAGGTTATAAGCTAAACCTAGCTTACACATATAAGGCAAAGCATGAATCCATTGTCTTTCTGACCCTGACTGACTTCACTTAACATAGTTTCCAAGTCCTTCCATCACTTTACAAGTATTACAATATTTATTTTTCTTTTATTATTATCTTTAAGTAATGGTGGTACAAAGGAGTTGCCATTTAACAAAGCAGCCTATGAATGTAATGTATCTTGATTGGTATCACCCCTTTCAACCTTCTCATCCACCCCTCCCCTACCTATTTCTTTCCTCATTCTTCTTAATTTTGTAAGATATACATTGTATTCTGGTCTGCTGTTATCCCTTCTTCTCTGCTTCATTTGTCTACCCTACTTTTCTGAGGAGCACTTTTTATTTTCCAGTTTGGGGATTTGAACTCAGGATCTTGTGCTCACTTAACTTGTTTGGATGGTATTCTATGACTCAAGCCATGCCTCCATCCTGGTTTTTTTAAAGTTATTTGGAGGCTGGAATTTCACCAATTTTTCTGCCTGGGCTGTCTTTGAATCATGATCATCTGGAATGCAACCTCCTGTATAGCTAGGATTTCATGAGTGAGCCATCAGAACCCACAGAGGAGCACATTTTAGTGTACTTGGTAGATGTGACCTTATATTTGCAAGTTTTGAATGTACACTATTTGAAAATTGTATTCTTATTTCTGAGCATGTATGGATCAACATAACTGAAACTAATCTAGATATTGAAAACAAAAAGGATTAGTTAGAAATAGAATTTAAGAGGCAGCTTTAATTTTATGCCTCAATATCAGGGCAATAGATTTAAAACAGCATTTTTTTCCTTTTTAAATCCATATGCTTTTGTTTTTTATTGTCTTATTTCACTGGCTTTTTCAGTGTCAAATAGAAGTGGTGAAATGTCTCCTCATACATTTCTCTTTGGCCCTAATTTGTCTCTAATTGTTGTTTATCATGGATGAAGGTTGGATTTGCATTATATGTTGCTCATGTGTCTATTGGAGATTGGCTCTTTGTTTCTTTTTCATACATACCACATTAAGTGGTTTTTGGAAATTAAATGAATCCTGTGTTCTTGGACAAATCATACTTGATTCTGGTATAAATCCCTCCTATACTATTGTCATATTTGGTTTGATATATCTAATTAAAACAGCAATTTTAAAATAAAATAATAGACATATGAATGTTATAGCTTACTGTCATAGATTGAGTGATTTTGGAAGTGGTTTCTGAGACTTTGTTGGGGGGTGGTTTGGGAAACAACAGCTGTGAAGAATGAGGAATATAGAATTGAGAAGAGGATCCAGGTGCTGGTGGTTCATGCTTATAACCTTAGATATTCAGGGAGCTAAGACTTGGAGGATTGAGGATTGAGGCTAGCTTGGGCTGAAAGTATGTGACATTTCATCTCCAAAATAACCAGCATAAAGCAGAGCTGGATGCATGGCTCAAGTAATAGAACACCAGCTGAGCAAGTATTAATAATCTGTTATTGGAGGGCAACAGGGGGACAAGACTTCAATTCAGTCACAGTGGGGCCTCAGTTGCTCTTAGATACCACTAGGAGCAATGGAGATGAGAAAAAAAAAGCTTCAGAGTTCTTTCTCCCTGAGGCAAAGGACAAAAAACATATCCACACCCTACTTTAATCATCTATTATTGCTTGTGTCAGCAAAGCATTTTACTTGAGGCTCACCTTGGGTACATTCTCTTTGGCTCAGGGTGATTTAGGAGAAGGACCTTAGATGAGTACTATCAACCATTTATCTCCAAGCAGCTAGGAGAAAGAATCCATCCATTCCAGAAATAGGTCTGTGTAGTAGACATCAGCAACTACTACACCTATAATTTAATAGCAAGTTTTGAGGTGGGAATAGTTAAGCCCACATGTTTTTCCCCAATTTTATAAAGTTTTATGAGTCTTGTATAGTCATTTTGTACTTTATGAAGGAAATTCATTTGTCAGAGTGCCTTCGATTATCTGTATGTCTATGAAAATTATATGCATATCCTGGAAAAGAGAGGGGAGAAATAAAATTTACACTTTGCAATCAAATCAACATATTTCACTCTGTGTTTTACTTTGCAGTAGATTTTTTTTAAAGTGTGAATTTAACTGTTTAGAATCTTGAACCTGACAAAGATTTAAAAATGAACTAATTATAGAATTTGTTCAATTGCTTTCTTGTAATTATACACAGGGAAACAACAGAAAGAACTTAAGGGCTTATTAACTTATAATTTTTCTACATAATGTGTTTTTAGTCCTTACTTATTTTGAGGGCCTTAAGATCAAACATAATGAATGTATTTTACAAATGTCTTCACATGGAAAATTAAATAATTTAAAATTAGTTATTGATGCTCACCATATTTTGTATACATGTTAAAATCATACTCTTGATTTTTTAATCAAAACTTACTTTATTTCTCAGTTTTCTAAGACACTCACAAAAATTTTATTTTGGTTCTTTAACTTTTTATTGAAAGGAAACTTTGAGCAATACAATATTATTCAGGACAGGTCTATCACTGAAGTTTTATGGATGCGCTCTCTAGAAAAGGTTATACACCCACACTCAATCCACTACCAGGTGGACAATAAAATAACTTTATGGTAGGCTCTCGTGAACATAGACTTGCTATATTTTGCTTTTATCTCTGTTTATTTGAACATCTGTCTTCTATTTCCTGCCTTGTACTATTTGGTTGTTTTTTTTTTTTTAAGTGGTTTGCTGATTTTAACTTTGTTGTTGATCTTGCACTTGAAGAGGATGTTTTAAAGAGGGAAGTTAAAACAGCAAGGAAAAAAAATACTGTTTTTGTTAATTTGGCTCCAACTGATTTTATACCTGGTAGCAAGAGAGCGTATGGTTCTTGCATGTGTGGTTAATTAAATTCTGTACTGATGGCTTCTGGTTCAGGTATTCAGTCATCCACCTTGTTAGCAGATCTTCTGCCCAGTAGGATTAGATTTGTCACTGGGGAGTCATTTCAGAATGTTTTCTTTGTGTGTGGAAGGTGGGATGATGGCATCTCTCTCTATTCTGGAGGGCAGATCAGTGAAAGAGGGGCACACATCTTCTCTCATCACTCACCTAGAATTCTTTGCCATTTCATTTTGTGTACTCACTGCATTTGGGATTCTCATCGGCGGTTTTATACAGTCTGTTGCTTGCCTCTCAGATTAGGAGAATGTTGATGTCTTTTAAGTTCCCAAGGATTCAAACTGCCCTTAATTAACAGCAAATTAATGTTTTGGAATGCTATAAAAAATATAGGAGACTGAACAGAGGGGTTAAGCTTCCCTCCTTCCAGCTTCTGAGTGTGGTGAGCTCCTCAAGCAGAGGTGGCTACAACCAGGTGTCCTCTTGCAAACAGCTGGCTACCCTCTAGTATGCAAAGGGAATGCCTTTGTTCTAATTCCACGGCTTGTTGATTTGTGCCTATCTAAAGTTTCACCTACTTAGTACTTGGTTGAAGCAACTGAGTTTCTATATACTCAAAGCTACAGGGTTTCTGGATAACACAAGGTTGCTGAACTTGTAACATTGGGTTTATGGATCATAATCTTCAAGTTTCCAGGGCAGTGAATTGCCAGTGCTCACAGTTGAGTTTCTTATCTGTGCCAGATTTCATGTCATCTTCCTGGCAGAGTTTTGGACTGGTGAAAAAGCACAGATTTTGGTTTGGTTTGGTTTTACTAGCAAAGCACCCACTCTGATTTTAGGCATATTCTGAACAGATTCATTTTCAAAGAAGGATGGCCAAGCAATGGTGGAGGTGTATGGCTTTTAGAATCCAGAGATTTTGGTTGCAGGTTTATTACTGACCCCCATCTAGAGAGCAAAACAAAAACAGGCCAGGAGTTTGAACTACTGACTGCTGATTCCATAACAGATAGCTATGATCCAAGAAAAAAAATGCAGCTCAGCTAGCTTTGCCTGTCTCGTGGTCAATCTGTTCACTTGCTGGTTCCCAGTTGAGCTCAGAAGACTCCATGTCTTGTTTCTTCCAGTGACCTACAAAGCTGATGTTTTTGTTTCTAAAGAACTTAGGGTTTTTTGTTGCTTACTTTTTTTCTATACTCATATCCTTGATTGCTCCTTTTGCTCTCATCTCTACAGGTGGTACATGCCAGAGTCCTGCTCTCCCAGCCCTAGTCCGTCCACCAGCTCCCCCTTTGCAACCGTCGCTGGATATCAAACCATTTCTTCCCTTTCCACTTGACACTACAGCTGCAGTCAACCTCTTCCCGAATTTTAATGCGGTGAGTACTCACAGCCAAAATTTTATCTGCCAGAATAACAGGTACTGGGACATCTTAAGGGACATGACTTCTCTGGAAATCATGATGAAGTCAGTTGTCTGCCTGATTGTGTTGTCCCCAGAGCCAGACTTTTTACATGGAAATGAAAAGAGATACCTTTACTTATTTTTATTCGTAGTTGTGTGATGTCTCTTGTTTTTGGCAACACCAACACCTCCATCATTTTGTTGAAGCAGGTCAGATTGAAGTTTAGCAAATTTATTACAGAGGAGGTTAAAATTCAAGTAGATGTTTGTTTCTTCACTCTGAATCTAGTTTGTTCTTCAAATTTGACTTATCTAATTTAAGGAATCTTGACATGTGTGTAATAATTTTCATGTGTATAGTACTTCATCCTAACTTAGAACAACTCAGTGTTCTGATAGCGACTGTTTTAATATTGTTTTTTCGTTTTGTGGAGCCACAATTGACTGGAGTATTTCTGAAGGTAATTTGTTTCTTTGGGCTTTGTCAATTGCCTTCTTGGCATAAGTTCAATTGTACCGCGCACCCCCCTCCCCCCATCCCATTTTCACTTTTAAGCTGACTTTATAAGCGGCAAGATCATCATATTCATTGTAATTCTTTTTTATGTAAGTATTTTAGGATGGAAATTGAAAGAAGGGTTGAAAAGGTTAGGAGCATTTAAGTGACAGATTTCGTAAATATCATCTGATTCAGCTTTCAGCAGTGTTTACAATGCCAGACTAAGCTTACCAATGACAGGATATGTCAACCCAACCAAAGCAAAGAGGATTAATCTGAGAGGTCACTGAGTGCCTGTGATCTAAATAACATTTTCTTATTGCAACATTTACTCCCATGAAGGCTTAAAAAAAATTCAGCCCACAATTAAACTACTCTTCAGAGGAGAGAAACAGGGTGTATATATATATATACACACACACACACACACACACACACACACACACACACACACACACACGGATAAAAGAAACACGGAATATCCTGAAGAATGTATTGAAAAATACAGTTTCTAATCCTAGATGTCATGAAGAGTACAGAAAAATTCGTTTGTTACCAAATCTTGCAGGTTCATTTATATCCTGCTTCTTTGCAGAAAATGTCCATTAAAAACCTAGAAAGAATTTTGGTGAGTTACTTAGGATCTTTTAAGTATAGACTTATATCATCTGCAAATCTGGATAATATGACTTTCTTTCCTATTTGAATCTCTTTTATTTCCTTCTCTTATTTTTATTGTTCTGGCTAAGAATTGCAATGTTATATTGAATAAAAGTGGGAAGAATGGAAACCTTTGTCTGTTCTTTGACTTCAAAGGAGTTGTGTTTTTCTCTGTGTAACATGATATTGACTACAGGTTTGTCTTTTAGAGGCTTTATTATTTTGAAATTGTTTCTTTTATTCAATTTCTGGAGACTGTTATCATAATGTTGAATTTTCTGCATGCATTGAAAAAAAAGTATCATTTTGTCCTTGATTCTCTTTATGTGCTGTATTACATTTGCTTGTTTGTGTACAACAAACTATCCTTGCATCCCTGGAATAAAACTAACTTTCTCATGGTAAATGGTCTCTTTAGAAAGTTGTTTGCAAGTGTTTTATTGACAATTGTGACAATATCTAAGTTTATGAAAGAAATTATGCTATTATTTTCTTTAATTTTCTATCATTTCTATAATTTTATAGGGTTTTGGTATCAGGATAATCTTCATTGAATGAGTTCATAGCATTTCCCTTCTATTTTACAGAATAGTTTGAGGAGTACTAGTGTTAGTTTTTTGTTTTTTTTTCTTTTTTGTCAGTCATGGTGCTTAAACTCTGGGCCTGGGCATTGTCCCTCAGCTCTTCAGCTCAAGGCAAGCACTCTATCGCTTGAGCCACAATGCCACTTCTGGTTTTCAAGTAGTTTATTGGAGATAAGAGTCTCACGCACTTTCCCTGCCCAGGCTGGTTTTGAATCATGATCCTCAGATCTCACCCTCCTAAGTAGCTAGGATTATAGGCATGAGCCATCAGTGCCTGGCTACTGTTAGTCTTTTAAGGTATCATAAAATTTGGCAGTGAATACATGCAATTCTTAATTACTTTACTACGAAGTCTCATTGCTTGCTATTGATCTATTTAAGTGGTTTATATCCTCTTATTTAAATTTTGTTGAGACAAATGCATTTAGAAATGTTTCTTCTATATTTTACAGTTAATTAGTACATTAGTACATAGTTTTCAAAGTATTTCCTAATGCTATTCTGGATTATATAATTATTTGCTGTGACATTTCCTATATTGTTTCTAATTTTATTGATTTGGTCTTTTTCCCTTCTTCTTTGGCTTAGTTTGATTAAGGGATTATAAATCTCACTTATATTTTCAAAACATTGACACTTTGTTTTGAAAATCCCTTATGTAGTTTTGGTCACCATTTTTATTAATTTCTAATGATTATTTTTAACACCTATTACTTTTGAGTCTGGCCTGAATGTGTGTGTGTGTGTGTGTGTGTGTTTGTGTGTGTGTGTGTGTGTGTGATATTTTCTTGATCCAGTAATTGGTTAGAGGGAATCTGGGATGTTTCCATGACTTGGATGGTGAACTATGCTGCAATTAACAAGAATATACTGGTTCAATTTTCATACTCCAACTTAACTATTTTTTTGATAAATGTCCAAAAGTGATGTTGTTGGATCAAATGGGTGTTCTTCTTTTAGGTTTTTGAGGAATCTCCAGAATGCTTTCCATAGTAGTTGGACTAATTTATATTCCTAGTAACAGAGAATTAGACTTCTTTCTCCCCACATCTTGGACAGCGTTTGTTTGTATTCTTGATGGTGGCTGTTCAGAGTGAGATAGAAACTCAATATCACTTTGTCCATGTCTTTTACAGGCTAGGATGTTAAGCATTTCTTCATGTATCCATAGATCATTTTCTCATTTATTAATTAGGTTATTGATAATTTGGAGATTTAATTTCTTTTTATTTCCTTGTATATTATGGTAATTAGACCCTTGTTAGAAGTATTACTAGCAAAAGTCTCTGACTAAGTTGCTCTAAAACTAACGTGATTTCTATTTATGTATATCTTTATATATTCACATATGTATATATATTCATACATGTAGGTAAATAAATAGATAAATAATGTAGATAAGGAAAATCAGACAAAAATTTCTATTCACAGTAACATTAAAATTACCTAGGAATAAATTAAACTAAGGAGATGAAAGACATCTGAAATGAAAGCTATTAAGCCTTGATGACAGAAACTCAAGAACAAAGCAGAAGATGGAAAGACCTCCTACACTCATGAATAGGTTAGAACTAATATTGTGAAAATGGATAAACCAATGAAATTTATCAGCAAATTCAATGCAAAGACCACTAAAATCCAAACATCATTGTTCTAAGAAATGTAACAATTCTGAAATCTGTGGAAATATAAAAAGACTTTAAATAGCAAAAGGACTCTGAAACAAATAGAGCAATGCTGAAAGTATCAAAATACTGTATTTCAACTTATACTACAGAGCCATAGTAACAAAAATATCATAGTATTTACACAAAATCAGCCTCAAGGATCAATGAAACAGAAAACTCAAATATAAGCTTTCATAGTTATACCCATTTTATTTTTAATAAAGGGGCTAAAATGTATATAATAAGGAAAAGGACATTCTCTTCAACAAATGATGCTGGGAAAACTGGTTATCTACTTGCAGAAAATATCTCATCCTGTACAAAATAAACCACACAAAATGTATCAAAGATATTCATGTAAGACCTGAAACTTTAAAACTACTTCAGGAAAAATTTGGAGATAAACGGGAAGATATAACCATAAGCAATTATATTTTGAATGGGAATCTAATATGGTGAATAATAGCAAGAATTAAAAAGTGGGATTCTATCAAATTGAAAAGCATCTACATAACAAAAGAAATAATTAACACAATGAAGAAACAGCCCATAGAATGAAAGAAAATATTTGCCAGCTATTCACCAGGTAACCCATAATAGTCAGAATGTTAAAGGAGCTCAGAAAAAAAATATCCAAAGAACAAATTTTCCAATCATTAAATGAGCAGATGAATTGAACTGATAGTTCTCAGAAGTGTCAATGGTTAATACATGAAGTTATTCAACATAGCCATAAAACAATACAAATCAAATTATACTGAGATTCTCACCTCAGTCTAAAAGCAAATAAGTTTATCTGATTTTGAGAAGGGATGGGGAATCACAGAAACGTTTTAACAAAAGGTGAACCAGTGCAACAGTGATACTCACTGGACACCATGTTGGAAATGAGCTTTACAACTTGGAGGAGAGGGGAGTTGGGATGGGGGGAAGTGGAGGGTAACACTATTCAAACAGAAATGTACTTATTACCTTACTTATATAACTATAACCACTCTGTAAATCACTTTTACAGTATTTTTAAAAGAAATATTTTAAAAAATAGCTGGGTACTGGTGGCTCACACCTGTTATCTGAGATCTCTGGATCATGATTCAAAGCCAGCCCAGGCAGGAATATCTGTGAGACTCATCTCCAGTTAACTACCAGAAAACCAGAGTTTTCTGGAGTATTTGAGTGGTTGAGTGATAACATTGAGCTGAAGAGCTCAGAGACAGTACCCAGGCCGAGTTCAAGCCCCAAAACCAACCAAAAGAAAGGAAGAAAACTAAATAAACAAGAAATACCTGTAAGGATACAGGGCAAAAGAACTCACATACATTGTTGGTGGAAGTGTAAACCAATGAAACCACCATGGAAATTAGGATGCAGGTTCTTCAAAAAACTGAGACCTAACTTATCACCCTCTATATATTACTCTGGCACATATCTCTAAATGTAAATCAGTTTACAAGACAGATAAAATTCCACATTTATATTTATCTTTGCACTATTCACAATAAGAATGAAGCTAAGTGTGCAACAACTAACTGATGAATGGATCTAGAAAACATGGCAAATACTT